TTCAGCGGAGACATTCGTGAAGTCGCATACCGAGATTTTAAAGATACCTGGAAGTATTCGCTATGGGAGATTTCTGTTTTCACGGACTGAAATCGCGACGAAACGCTTTGGAGGATGATGTCGTTAATGGATGTGGTTTTGGATGAGTGTCTCTGGGAGGGTGTTATTTAATGGAGATGATTGGAATGTCGAGTAGTGCGATGAATTTTTGATATGTGTCGTGAAAGTATAGTTAGAGATTGTAATATAGAATAGTAAGGTAGCGTGTAATTATGTATGGTTAATGAACGTATATCATTGAATAGGGATATAGGGATCTGTAATAATTTTTGGTATTCATGTAGGCGTGACATAGGTGTGCATAGTGAAATATTATGGTAAAAATGAGTCTTAAAAGTTATATCGCGAAATAATAAGAATTTTCTCAATTAGAAATTATTTGGTGTTTGAATATGCATATATTACTGCATAAATGTTTTTGACAGGGTCTAATTTAATTGAGAAATATTATAGATATAATGGAACACTATGATGAAAATAGCATCGTAAATGAATTATTCAATTATTTATAAGCGGCAATATAGGTGAACTGAATTTAATTTAAAGGTATAATAAAATGTAAAAGCAGTATTTAACGCGAACAGAATACCTGCAGACATACAAGTATAATTTCAGCAACGAAATTAAGTCACGAAAGTAATTTAAAAATCATTAACTCATAAAGAAATATAGGACAGGAGAAAAATATTACTCAAAAAGGAAACTGAGTTTTTGGATTCCTTTCGTGTGTCGAATTTCAGACTATGGTTAATAGAGAATTTACTATTATAAGAGTTTACGACAGACCGTTGATAATGCTGTTACTTGCATTAGAGAGTACAGAACACGTTGTTGAGTAACAGTGTGAAATTAGTCGAATTTCTCGTTAAATTCAGTACAAAAATAAAAGCGTGATTATCTAATCGAAGAATACAAGTTCAATCCATTTTATTAAAATAAAAATATAAGTATCAATTATAGTAAATAACATAAAAATATAGCTAACACTATACCCAAACCTATATTCACTAATTATTAAAAATGGATTAACAGAAATTATTAAATAAATTAATAAATAAAATTGATCAAAATACAAATTCCAAAATTAAATTTCATTTTAAAAATATAAATATCAATTACAGCAAATAACATAAAAATATAGCTAACACTATACCTAAACCTATATTCACTAATTATTAAAAATGGATTAACAGAAATTATTAAATAAATTAATAAATAAAATTAATCAAAATACAAATTCCAAAATTAAATTTCATTTTAAAACACTCTGTATGGAAAATAAAAAAGAAGAATTGAGTATAGAAATAACTACAAAATTACATTACATAATAAACTAGGAAATACTGACATGTAAATTAACTATTAAATATAGATTAACAAAAATTATAAAATAAATTCTTCGAAATATTTAATCATAAATAAAAATTAATTTTGTCTTTTGAAACATCCTATATGAAAAATAAGAAACGACGATGGAACGCAGAATAATATTCGAATAATGAATAATATATTCGAGAAGAATTATCTTTCTCCATTTTTCCTGGTATAGTGACAGGAGTAATGGCGGAATTAATTTTTTGTACTATTAGGAAAAAATGGAGTCTCTTATAATATATTCGGCAATGTGCATACCGAGTTTATTTTTAGCAGTAAAGCAATCGATGCTGTAATAAGAGAACATGAATGCGGAAAAAGGTTTAAAAGGATTGCTCGTACTTGTCATAAAACTTTATGTGCATTTGTAAGTACTAAATAGCGTTATAAAAGTAAAAGTATCAAGTGTTTATTTTCAGTTCTTTGGACTGCTTATCCAACCCATTTGCATGTAATTATGTGTCGTCTAACTTGAAATATTCGTGATATAAATTTTCATAGAATTTGTCCTAAGATTGCGGAAAAATCGTTCGTCGATTTCTTGAAAATAATTCTAAAAGAGATAAATATAAATGGTAGAGTAATGAGGACGAATCTTCGTAATTACTTCCGATTTTAACGATCTGAATTAAAATACGAGTGCTCGAGGGAAGAAATACAATTAATGTATTCATAATAGATAATAAACAGAGAAAGTTCTCGATAATTGGAGGAAAAGTACTTGCATATTTCATGAATTATTTTTTAATTTAATTTAATTCTTTTTAAATTAAAAAATTAATTTTATCTTTTAATCTAATCTTACATTCGCTATTTTATTCCGAATTATTATCTTATTTTATATTTTATTATTCTATGTTGTTATTTCTGCTATTTTATTATTTTACAATATAAATTATATTGCATTAGTTACCATATTGTAAAATTGGAAAAAATAATTGTTAATAGTTCAGACCGATTATTTTAATATTTTTGTATTTTTAAATCTGAATTTTGCAGTATATCATTATCTCTTTTGCATTATCAGATGTAATTAAAATTGACACGAATTTAAATATTTACGCGAAAATCTGTCAGTGATGGAATAACATTTTCTAACCGAAATTGTATCTTTGTTTCAGGTACAGCTTGGGTTTGCTGTTCACTGTAATTTTTGTCGCGTTGGCAATCACGACAGTACACAATTTTGACATTTCAGGTAAGCAGAGATTTCTTAATTAATTCTTGCAGGATATATGAATATTTATAGACTGTGTTTAAGAACATATTTCTTTTAGTCACTCTAAGATTCTGTTTGTTAATCGACCGTAAAGGTCGTTTGTAATATAAAACTAAAAAATTCAGAAACTTTTGCACAAAAATGTGCATTTCGAAAAAGGAACTCGGAGAATTTTATATCCTATGAAGAAATAAAAAGTAGAAGCAATTTCGAGAAATACAACGAACGAAAAATGAATTTAATAAAATAGTAACGAAGATATACAATTAATAAGAAAATTAATAATTGTAATTCGAAATATTTTACAATTTCTCTGGAATTTACATCACTCGTTGAATTCATTTTATAATCTATTTCCACAAGCTATTTTATTTAGTTTAGAATTCCTTCAAATTTTGAATAGGAATAAAAAATAACAATTTAACACCAAAATAATAATTTCGAGATATTGTTCACACACTGAAATAATACACTAAAAATTAAAATCGTATGTTACAATAGTATTGTAGGATACCATTTCTAAAAAAATCGCGAATCGGCCATTGTCAACAAAAATAAATTATAAACCGATCGATATCTTCTATATGCAAATCGAAAAGTTATTCTATATAACAAAATTAAGTTGCGTGACTCCTCTACGGAGAGATGAAGCGTAGATTAAGGAAAGCATAACAACAGGGTCCTTGACGACCAAAACAGAGTCCTTAGAAATTAATTGTGACCAGCACGAGCGTGAGTCGCTTAGTGTTGGAAAGAGAGTTAAATTAGAGTGCGTCTTCGTGCGTTTTCGTTTCGTTATCTTGGTGTTCTTTTCCTAAGTTAACCCTTTGCACTGGAGAGACGCCTCTCAGTCGCCGTTTAATCAGATTCTAAAAATGGATGTTTATTAATATATTAAATTTACAATTACTCAACGATTCGTGGAATATCGAAGTAAAATAATTCTACGTCTTAATTTTCATACGATTTCTTATTTACCGTTTTAGAAATTTCGTCGACTTTATGGCAGAAAGTCTTCGAATTACTATTTTCCCGTAACGAAAAAATCACCGAGTGCAAAGGGTTAAATTAGTTTTACGAGTATCGAGTTTGTGTTATTCTGTTCTTGTTGTTTTGTCAATTTTTCGTGTCTCAAAACCAGTTTTCGCCATCCTACAGTATTAGAATAATTATTTGAATATAACACTTCGTCAAATATCAATTTATAGAAAATTAAAACAAGAAAGCTTAAAACAAGTATTTCCAAATATTATTTCCTTTCCAAATTTTGCAACTTTTATCTCGAAATATATTTTATCACAGATAGTTACCATTTATGCGTTGAAATAAATGAATCCGACTAAAATAAATAGATGATACAATAAAAATAAAAGAAGTCGTAAACGAAGAGACTTTTCCAAAAAATTTTAATGTTATACCTTCGAGTATTTATAAATTTTGTCGACACACTACCTTCGTGACATCGACTCGCGTATTTCATTATAATTTTAATACTCTCCGCGTCTTTTTGCGACGACACTCAGTCTTTAATCGTTCGGCTGAGATTTCGTTAAAAATTCCTCGCACAAAATCGCAAAGTTCAAGGAATTCTTTCACGCGTGCTGGCGAAATTGAGATACACTCCTCGAGAACAGGATGATGGCGTTCCTTTTTCCTTTCTTCTTAATGGCCACGCAAATCTTATGCAACGAGAGGCGCGTGATCGTTGCTGCTACAATTTTGAGGGGAACTGTTGAAGACAATAGTGAGATTCCTCTCACGCCGCTACAAAAATCGGTTGTTGTTGTTGATCGCGATGATTCTGCTTGGTTACGTCACGAAATCGACTCGGGGAGAATATCTCGTTAGTATTAAGGAGCTCATTAGCGTAATCATCCTTTATTTACCGCGAGTCGCGTGGTGGCTCTTTCATAGCTCGCTCAGATTACTCCTAATATTGTCAGTTTCTGAAACATCGTGTAAGCGATTCGTAATTATCCGGGAGACGACGGATTTCGTTTTCACCGCGGTTATGTAAACCTTCCACGAATCCAGTTTTTTAAAACTTTTTTTTCAAATATGAGTAGAACCTATCTTTCGAAATAAGTACACCGACACTTACAATAAGAAATTACGATACGTTGAAAATTATATGTACAATTAAATTCCGTTACTATTATTATTCAGATATTTTATGTACGTGTTAGTAATTATGAATGTGACCTAAGTAAAAAATCTGGAAGAAATAAATAATTTTAATTTTAATAAATAAAGAAGAAATAAATAATTTTAATTTTAATAAATAAAGAAGAAATAATTTTTTCTGATATTGTGTTATTGAATTGATTAAAAATTAAAAATTAATGTCGGTATTTCTGGAATAAATGGTAATTGTCTAATTTGAAGTATACGAATAGAACCTATCTTTCGAAATAAGTACATCGACACTTAGAATAAGAAATTACGATACGTTGAAAATTATATATACAATTAAATTCCGTTACTATTATTATTCAGATATTTTATATACGCGTTAGTAATTATGAATGTGGCCTAAGTAAAAAATCTGGAAGAAATAAATAATTTTAATTTTAATAAATAGAGAAGAAATAATTTTTTCTTATATTGTGTTATTGAGTTGATTAAAAATTAACGTCGGTATTTCTGGAATAAATGGTAATTGTTTAATTTGAAGCAAAAGAATATATTTTTATTAAATGTTATATTAATTATGCCAATGTTTGCACAATAAATGAGCTTAGTAGATATTAATCTAGGAATAATTATGAATTGTGAAGAATACATTAAGTATTCTAAGGGAAATGAATATTTTTATGACTTTCTTGGTGTAGATTTGTAAACAATTGCGCTTTATTTGCAGATTATGTCTATGGGGTGGATCATGATTTGCAGGCAAGAGTACGTGCTGGAATCGAGGCCGAAAGATTCACCTACCAAACAAAGACTAGGTAAGTACTCTATTTACTCTACAATGTTTCAACGACTCCTTTGATAAATGTACTTTTAATAGATATCATTTTCTAAAATGATTACTGACTGCTGAAATATCCATAAAACTATTAAAACGATTATTGATTATTAAAATTCATAAAATATTATTGAAAAACTATTTTAAATGTAATTTGCATAAAATATTTATGCGTTTACAAGAACGATTAACTGTCATACTAATAAAAGATAATAGTTTATACAATCGTGTGGTAGAAATAATTTCTTTCGAATATGCGATTAAAAGATAATCAATCAAGGTTAATTTGGATTATTTGTCGAGCAACAAATGGCGATGAAGAGTGTCGATTCGTCACTTTCGCGTGATTAATTGTGCAACAGAAGGCACGTTGCTTTTCATTCAAGGTAACAAGACAGTTTCGCTAGGTAATTATCTAATTCGCGGCTGTTTTACAGAATTTTCTATGCCAGAAATATCGAAGGTCGCTTGCTCCATCGAATTTATAATGAAACACGTCGCGGTTCGAGGAATGCAATTTCTCGATAGGAAAAAAATAGTTATTTCTTCGCGTTACTATGCGTCGTAAAGCGTAAAATACTCTGTTTAGTTTTTACTTAAGATGCATAGATAAATTGAAAAATTAAAAAATATATGGGAAATGTCAGCCATGATGAGGTATACCGAATGGATCATCTAACGTGACTATTTCAAATACTTTTAATGATTTAATTTCAGAATTAATACAAAATTATTTTGTGATAGATGATAGAACGATACTTTTTATTTAGTTTTAATAACTGCAAAATAATTTTAATAGTAACAAATTATAATTTTAATAACAAAAATATTGTAATTTGTTCGTAGAAATATTTGAAGAATTATTTTAATATTTTGAATTGATAACGCGAGTATAGTAACTTTCTCTAAGATACCATTTGATGGGATGATTTAAGAAAATATATTTGATTTCCTATATTAGAATTAGATACATGTATTCTTTTTAATTTTCTATATAGAAAATATCTTTGTTTATTTTTGTTTGGATTAATTTAATTTTTGTTATATGGCAACAACAGTTGATTTTTGTGAAATTAACTATATTGAGCCAGAAAAGTCAGAGAAAATTAAATTTCTAACAATAGAAACAATCGAAGTGGTCACGTTAAATGTTTCACCCTGTATATGAAGCAAGATTAATAGTAATTTTGGTTCAAAATATACATATGTATATAAAGAATAAAATTTTATAATAGATCCTTAAATTTCTAAAAAAAGAAGTATATAATTTAAATATTTGGTCATGATCGCTGAAATTTTTATTTAAATATTTAATTTCGTACCGCTTCCATGCTGCATTAATTTAAAATTATAAACCGAGAGTCGGTATACCTGAAGTAAATTGAAGGAATCCTTGATTTAAAAGTATAATAACTACATACAGTACATATATACAGTAAAAGACAGAACTCAAAAACTTTCACAGCAAAAATCTTTAAAAAATTCAGGAACTAAAATACTTTCACTACTATTAATTTTATTTTGCCACGTATCAATCCCCAATAATTCATCCAATATTTAAACACTAAAACTATCAAATTAGTTAAAAATTAATTTTTTTTATCACTTTTGGCAAATTAACATTGACTTTCATTCGGATAAAAACGTGATTACGCGTATCTACCTATGTCCATCACACCACTTCAATTATGCTACTTGAATATCATCTATGTATGATACATTAGGCCTTCTTTTTTGAGAAATATCTTTATCATCTATATAAATACATTATATTTAATGAGCCAATAAAACTCTCTTATTTTTCACACATCCCCTTTAAAAACACCTGATTACAATTTCACGAATCACCCTGTATATAATTAAATCTCTGCTTCAATCAGCATTAACCCTTTCACGAGTGCGCCCAAAAATGTATGTCCAACGAAATAATAATAACGTAAATGCATAGCCAAGCCAGAATGTACTTTCGTCAAAAAATAAAGAAACATAATAAAATATAAATCATTACTCACACCTATACATAAAATATATGTAATCAAACATATATATGCAATAAAAACTTGCATATTACTAAAGAAAGTTCACTTTTCAACTGTGTGTATTCCCAAAAAACACTCATCACGAGATCATTTTACCAAATGCAGCTACGTGAGATCGCTAATTACATAAACAAAAAGTTAGTAACGACTCACTTCAAGCGCCAAGTCCATTTCAATTGGTTCATAGTCAAGTCCATATCAACTGGTTCATAGTCAAGTCCGTCCTAACTAATTCATAGTTAAGTCCATTTAACTGGTTCATAGTCAAATCCATCCCAACTGGTTTATAATGAAGTCCATTTTAACTGGTTCATAGTCAAGTCCATCCTAACTAGTTCATAATCAAGTCAATCCCAACTGATTCATAATCAAGTCCATCCTAACTAGTTGATAGTCAAGTCCATCCTAACTAGTTGATAGTTAAGTCGATCCTAACTGGTTCATGGTCAAATCTACCCCAACTTGTTCATAGTCAAGTCAATCCCAACTGGTTCATAATCAAATCCATCCTAACTAGTTGATAATCAAGTCCATCCTAACTAGTTCATAGTCAAGTCCATCCCAAGTGGTTCATAGTCAAGTCCATCTCAACTGGTTCATAGTCAAGTCCATCCCAACTGGTTTATACTCAAGTCAATCCTAACTAGTTCATAGTCAAGTCCATCCCAAGTGGTTCATAGTCAAGTCCATCCCAAGTGGTTCATAGTCAAATCCATCCCAACTGGTTCATACTCAAGTCAATCCTAACTGGTTCATAGCCAAGTCCATCCTAACTAGTTTATAGTCAAGAACATATTTCGAAATGCCATTCAAACTTTAATTCTCTTTTCTCACTTTCCTAATAAAAAGAACACATTACATATATTAAAATTAAAACGAATACCGAACAGAATCCTAAATTATTAAAATTATCCAAGCTTTTCTCTACTTTTTCTACCACTTTCCACCTTCTAACGTCGCTCCATCTCCCCAACTGCTCGTATAATATAAAACGGATAGGATACACTTCCTAAGGAAGTTAAACGATCACAGGGAAATCCTGGAAGCGCTGACCGAATTAAAAATGAAGATTAGAAGCGCATCAGACCAACGAAACGATGAGAGATCGTTGCAGCACACATCCTGAAACCGCAAGCGTGACCACGCCACGGCACCTTTCGCCGAATCGAAGAAGGCGAGCTCCCATAGCGGAAAGTGAATCGCAATTATGGTAAAACGCGAGCTATCTCTCCTCTGTTACGAAAGACGACCTCGACTCATAGTCCTCAGCGAGTCGTCACGAAAGAGAAATGGCAAGCTTCTGTGTCATGGCTTGAGCAACTCTTTTAGGGAAGGCTGGTCAGGCTCCTCTCGTTTGCCTTCGATGGTTCGTCGCGTGTCCTTTGACGCCAATGGGTGTTTGACTCTGTTCGAATGTCCGATAATGCGACGATAATACGAAAATAATGATTCTCTTCGGGTACGTGGTTTTAAGGTGGCAAAAAAGGATTGGTTACGACTGTGTGTTCAGGCTTTTTGTTCCAGGGATTGTTTAAACGGTATTTAATCTTGGGTAATGTAATACTGTATAGAAGCTTTTTGCGCAATTAAGGAAATTTATCGTGGCTCGGAATAGCGTGTGAAAACAGAGAGATGTGTTTTGCTGAGAATGATTTATTTTTGTGATTTCTGAAGATCTATTGGTTCAGAATTCTATAGAGAGAGAGAGTTTATTGGTTAGAGCGAGGTGTTTGACGAGACTCAGACAATGTTCAGTTTGTTACAAGTTTTCTATTGGAGAGATTATTTTCTAGAGCTAGATAGATTCTTTCTGATAAGAGAACGAGGTTATAAGAAAATATATTAACGCCCTTCTTTTATAAGATAAGAGAAGAAGGAAAGGAAGAACGTAGAAAAGGATAGGGATAGGCATAGAAAAGTGGGTGTGACCAGGTATAATGTGAACCAGGTTCATTTCTTGGCCTGGGGGCTGAAATAAATAAATATTCTATTGTAGTGGTTCTCAACTGGCAGTTAATGGTACATGAACTGAATCGAATCAAATAAAATTTAATAATTATGTACAGTGGGGTGTGCAACAACGAATGAATACTATACCTAGATAGATGCTGAGAAAAAAGATTGAGAAATGCTCTTCTATTCTACTCTACTTTTCTTTTCATAATTAGAGAAAGATATATAGATTTTAATATTAAGCTTATTATATTTTGCCTCGTACTTCGGTTAGTATAATTGACAGTCCGTAATATGAACCTAAATATAGTGCACATAATTGATATTAATTAATATTATATGTAATTGTGATCCTATTTGAACAAAAATCGACATAACTTTTACCAGAAGTAGCTATATATTTCCAGGATTGATAAAAATAAAATATCCGAAACAAGTTATGCTGACTTTAACAGTTCTAGTGTTAATATAAATATAAATTATACAATAGACGATACACAAATTACAAATAACACTCATCTACAGATTCCAAAAAATTCTCCTAAATAGATAAAGGAAGATAAGGGTTCAGAATTAGAGGAATCAGGAAAAAGCTCGCAACTGTAAACCTGAATAGCCTTATTTTTACCAGAAGTAGCTGTATATTTCCAGGATTAGCAAAAATAAAATATTCGAAACAAGTTATCCTGACTTTAACAGTTCTAGTTTTAATATAAATACAAATTATACAATAGACGATACACAAATTGCAAATAACCCTCATCTACAGATTCCAAAAATTCTCTTAAATAGATAAAGGAAGAAAAAGGTCCAGAACCAGAGGAATCATGCAAAAGCCCTCAATTGCAAACCTGAAAAGTCTCATTTTTACCACAAGCAGCTGTATATTTCCAACATTGGTAAAAATAAAATATTCGAAACAAGTGATATTGACTTTGACAGTTCTAGTGTTAATACAAATATAAATTATACAATAAACGATACACAAGTTCTAAATAACACTCGTAACACTCATCTACAAATCCCAAAAAATTCTCCTAAATAGATAAAGGAAGAAAAAGGTTCAGAACCCCTCAATTACAAACCTGAAAAGCCTCATATTTATCAGAAGCAAAACAAGTCGTATTAACTTTAACAGTTCAAGCGTTAATGCAAATATAAATTATTGGACACACGATACACAAGTTCCAAATAACACTCGTAACACTCATCTACAGATCCCCAAAAATTCTGCTAAATGAAAAAGGCAAGAAAACAGTTCAGAGCCAGAGGAATCGCGTAAAAGCCCACAACTGTAAACCTGAAAAGCCTCATTACTCATTACCGTGCACCCGTATTACTGTTGCTCCCGCAACAAACGGTTTCGTTGGGCAAACACAAGAAGCAAACAAGCCTGGTATAACAAAGAGCAAAAGAAGCGATGACGAAGAAGGAGGAAGTCTGTCAGGAACAAAAGCCGAAGAAACGGACGTGACGAGGCTCTGGAAGCCAGTCCGGCCTCCAGTCCTTCCTGCTCCATTTTCTTTCTTTCTCCCGCAGCAGCGTAGCCACGAGCGAACTTTTACTTTCATGGCCGAGAAAAGGAGTGTCGGTTGCCGGCGCGTCCTTCCGTAACGGCATTTCAGCCCACGAGGAAGGTTTCTCGTCCGACCATTACCGGTGCTATCCCCTTTCCTCAGCCTCGGGAAGGTTGCTGGCCGTGTGTCGACGCGCGCCACATCGTGGCACCCCGCCACTTCGCCGTGATCGGGAACCAGATCGGGAACGGCGGAACCGAACGAACCGGCACTCGATGACCGTCGATGTCGTCGTGAAACGCGAGTACTCGGGCGTCGCCGCGGGCCTTCCTTCCTGCCATGCCTCACCGTTCTCCCGGACTCCGCGCTTCTTGCTCCGCGCCACTGCCTCCGCAGCCGGTTCTTCTTCTTCTTCTTCTTCCCCATTTTGCCATCGCTACCGATAGAAAGTCGCCACGGTCGCTTTAATTGCCACCGACAGGGTCGCTTTTTGCACGCCTCCTTTCGGTTTCTACGGGCGCTTATGGAGATAAGGATCACTGGTCTCGGATGCACTCGTGGTCCACATTGAGTTTAATTTTGGATTCTGAGGATGCGGAGAAATGGGTCTAGGGTGGATTTAAGGATGGTTCAAAGACGGAGAGATGGTTTTCAGAAGGTTTTACGGACTTTTGGGAAAATCGTCCTGGCACCTTTGTATCAGGATGACAGATCTATTACATACGAAAAATATAAGGATTATTACCTTATATACCTCCTGTGCGTCATGAATATATTAAAACACTGTCATATGAAGAATATAAATAAATAATATCAATATCTTATGCTATGTTTAGGTATATATAAATATAATCAATGTTTAAAATAAAAAGTACTATTCCTATTTTATTTCTTATTATTTATAAATAAAATTGGATTTATAGGAAATATGTTTTAAGTGACATCTAATTTTTCAAAATAGAAATTAAATGATTTTTACAATTGACTAATTATAAAAGTGGTAGTTCGTCTAAAAGAAATTTATCTAATGAAATTATATATTGATAAATTAGTAGAAACATTGCTAGACCTGGCTTAATTAATCTATATTTTTAAATTGACGAATATGCTATCCCTTAATTTTTTCGAAAGAGCAGAAAATGGACTTGCACCACTTTGAAAATAAACTGTCCATATAATATTGAGATTAAGGGGGAGAATTTGATATTGGGATTAACTTGGTAATGATGGTTTTAAATTTTAGTAGCGGAAATATTTCCTAGGAAATTTCCTAAAGGGAAGTGTTAGAGAAATCAGTTTGGGTTTCACTGGATGCTACGTAAATCGATAGTTGTTCGATATGATTTTGATATGTAATAAATATTTTAAGATCAATATAAAATATCGATATCAACTTGGTAATATTAATTCTAAATTTTAATAATGCTAAATTTAAAAAATCTTTTCCTCAACATTGCAATATCGTTCAAATTCTACTGAAATATTACTTCCTTTCCTACCTTTTCTAATAAAAATAAAATAATAGTATTTTTATTCATACTAAAATTAAAAACAACCTATCTACTACCAATATCAAAGTAATTTATCCCTCATTCACTACGAAAATGAAGGAAACAAAACCATTAAAATACACTATACACTATAAACACAGCCAACGTAACAATAACTCATCATCTCAACGACTCAATAAATTCTCTCCCTCTCTCTCTCTCTCTCTCTCCTCTCTCATAAGCAAAGAGAAAAAGGAATCAAAGTATGCTAATAATTTTAGTTATCCATACTAAATTTAGTATGAATAACTAAATTTATTATTACTAAATTTACTATTTATTTTATTGTTACGTCGATTGTGTTTATAGTGTATAATGTATGGTGTATTTTAATGGTTAAATTTCCTTCATTTTCGTAGAGAATGAGAAACAAATTACTTTAACATTGCTAGGTATATAGGTTGTTTTTAATTTTAGTATGAATAAAAATACTATTATTATATTTTTATTCATACTAAATTTAGTATGAATAACTAAATTTATTATTACTAAATTTACTATTTATTTTATTCATACTAAATTAAGTATTAATAAAAATATAATAATATTTTTATTTATACTAAAATTAAAAACAACCTATCTACCTATCAATATCAAAGTAATTTATTCCTCATTCTCTACGAAAATGAAGGAAACAAAAGCATTAAAGTACACTATACACTATACACTATAAACACAATCGACGTAACAATAACTCATCATCTCAACGACTCACTAAATTCCCTCCCCCTCTCTCTCTCTCCTCTCTCATAAGCAAAGAGAAAAAGGAATCAAAGAAACAGATCTCATCCCTTGGATTATTCTTTGTTCGCAAGGAACTGTAGTTCCTCTAATTGATAATACCGTCATACGTCCGATACAGCTTCAGATATTGTTCCCGCGGAGCAATTTGTACGTGCATAACACGCAATCCTTTACTGTGCGAAAGCAATTTGATTTATGGCCGTACACACGCATCGACGGACAACTTCTTATTGTTAGGGATTTTACATGGTTCACATGACTCACGCGTGAATTATACTTCCTCGTTCTTGCTGTCCCATAAATTCCTCATGGAAAAATCGCCGCCGGCGTCCATTTTTCTTCTTCTTTCCATTTCTCCTCCAGTCACCCCTCTCTTCCTCGTTTTCTCCCCTTTCTTTTTTTTCTCTTCCCGTTCTCCAGCCTCTCCTCGTACCATTTGGTCGCCGCGCGTTTTCTTGCCAGCGTAGAAAGTTGCAGCGATTATCTACATTACGCTAACTGATCGAACGGGTTGAGTGTCCCGTGTGATTTATTACGTCTCGTAAAATCCGCGCCGAAAAAAGCTGTGATTTAAATGCAAGGGGAACAGAGAGCACGTGATACGGGCTGTTATTGCGACACATGGATGTTCGCGAAAATTACTGGAAAGAATAATCCTGATCGAGGGTTCGACTCGTTAACCCCCTGCGTGACCGATTAAATTTCAAAACTCGAGTTAAAGATGCTGGTTTCCCTTCTCTCGTAATCTGCCTGGATGATTTATGTTAATTAGTAGCGAGGTAACTAGTAGAAAAAGAATCGTAGCTCCTTTGTTGGGAAAAGGAAAAAATAAAATGGAAGAATACGGAATATTCAATTTTATATTCGTTAATTTTAATATTCGAGACCTAATTTTGCGTTACATACTATATAACTGGTTATATATGTTAATTTAAAGTCGTAATTTCACTCCTTTCTAATCGTTTAGTTGGTCTTATCTTGTTCAAAATGCGGAGTCGTAATCTGTTACGAGTCAATGGTTAATACGTAAGAGGTTCAGAATTTCACGGCACTGTTCGTTTTTCGTAGTTTGTGATATCGTTAAATGATAATTAACATACGCGGATGTGATTAAAATACTGTATATTACCTTCAGCGGTAATTGAAATGGAATGTTTGTATAATCGCCTGTGAAGGAGTAAAAACGAAGTAAAATTGGAAATAATTCGAAATGGCGATTTGGAATTAATTTATTTGTCGTTTTAGGTATCAAAATAGGCAAGAATCGAACGATGCTCCCTGCAGAATCAAACCGGACAGGCCTTGCCCCCCAAGCAAATACAGAACACCTTCTGGTGCTTGCAATAACGTAAGGCATCCGGTCTGGGGTGCTCGTGGTGCACCTTTTCTAAAATTGTTGCCAGCAGCATATTCTGATGGTAAGTGAATAGTCTATAATTTTTCCCCTTTCATAAAATAAAGATAAGAATAAAAATTAAAATAAAATAATTTCTTTCATTTATTAACTTTAAAAACTAATTATTCCTGAATTATTTTTTAATTATCTCTTAATTAATTATTTCCTAACTTTCATTTCGTATAAAATAGCTATTTCACTTTACAAACATCTGTTACCCGAAAAATCACTATTATAAATAGATATTTAATTATAATACAATTATTTTATTTTACACAGATAATTATAGCTAGAGAAATTTATATAGTAGAGGTTTAATTATATTTTAATTATTTTATTTTGCATAAATAATTATTCCTGGGAAAATTCGCATTTTAAATGGAGATTTATCGAAGATTTCTAAACCGTTTCATATTTTCCTCGAATACATCTTTCTCCCCGAGAGTCTTATGAGTATCGGAATGCCGGAGGTATGAGAAAATTGAAAACTCGTATAAAATGTACGATGAATGAGATTGAAATGTCAATTTCGTATTTCTTATCGCGTTCAATGCCTGTAATCATGCTAGAAGAATCTTTTATGGAATTTACGAGCTGCGACGCGTTAGGCATTAACAAGGGACAAGCTAATAACTGCATTGGACACCTGTTATTATGTCCGAGAAAAAAGCGAAACAACCTGCTTCGTTGAAAATATCAATGAAATTTCATCTTATTCGTATGAAAAAGTTGAAAAGCGAGATTACGTACTTTATTTTACTTACACCTCAAGTAGAGGTGCCAGAAATACGCTATAGGATACGAGATTCAATCTGTTTAATTTTGTGTTATCTTCGACGTAACTCCTTACTCGAATGTTCATCGTATTTCTGAAAAGTGTATACTTCGATACTCGCATCTCTTTCGATATCATTTTCAAAATCGTTAAAATAAAAATTACGATTATAATTATTACACCTACGATTCTAGATATTAGAAAGCACTAACAATTAACCCTTTCGCTACTACGAGTGATTATAGTCACAGGCCACGAGACGCCATCTACACACGACGAGTGACTATAGTCACTGGCCATAAAAATTGAGTAAAAATTAAGGCAAGTGCTACTGTTCCTCTTAGCTCTCTTCGCAAAGAATTGCAAGAGCTATTGCGATGACTATAGTCACCGACCACGAACGCCATCTACACACGACGGGAGACTATAGTCACCGGCTGATTTCAGAAAGCAGTGCCTTTTAAGCCCAAGTCCGACATCTTTGGGACTCTTGGGATCCAAAGATTGTTATGGCTACGAGATGCCATATACACATGACGGGTGACTATAGTCATCGGCCACAAAAATTAAGACAAGTGCTATCGTTCCTCTTAGCTCTCTTCGCAGAGAATTGCAAGCTCTATTGCGATGGTCAGTTTTTCTTTTTCTTCTTTTCTTCGAAAGATTTGCACCAAAAGACCGAATGCTAAAGATTGCACTATAGCAATGTTACCATCTTTGACACGTCGCTTTGTTCTACGGGGGAGACTTCGCGGCGATACCCGTCGTAGCGAAAGGGTTAAATATTAAAAAACTATCGCAATTAATAAATTATTCAACAAAATAATCTTAAGATAATTCCATATAGACGACTAAAAATTTCCATATTCAAATACAGCAATTTAACCCTGTCGCTACTACGGCTGACTATAGTCACCGGCCACGAGACGCCATCTACACACGCCGGGTGACTATAGTCACCGGTCACAAAAATTGAATGAAAATTAAGACAAGTATTCCTACGCGTCGCGAATGTAGAAGTTGTTTCCTTCTTAAGAACGCGTGGGGTGCTCTAGACGTTTTACGGTCGAGAGCTGTTAATTTTGTTTGGTAGCCTAAATGTTAACTTGTTTCGTCTTGGCTCCTTTCCTCGGAGTCGCGATTCTAACTCTTTGAAGGATCTAATATGACCGACTGAAAGTTTCGATGTGACTGCTCGAAGGCTCGGATGTGACACCTTGAGAGCTGGAATTTGACTGCTTACAAGTGCTACTGTTCCTCTTCGCAAAGAAGTGCTAGCGCTACTACGATGGCTGATCTTTCCACCTTTCTTTTCCTTCAAAAGACTTGTCCACGAATGCTAAATACTTTAATGTAGAATCGTAATGTTTCCATCATTGGCACGACGCTTTGTCCTATGTGAGAAACTTCGCGATACCCGACGTAGCGAAAAAAATTAAAATATTAAAAAAATTTCGCAATTACAAATGATTTTTCCATTAAAAATACATATCTGTTATACGCGAAATTACATTTGAAACCATAAAAAAAGTTCTTGTCTATTTTATAACCCTTTCAAAAATATTTGAAACACCCTAAAATATTCGAACCCCATTTCTTGCCTACAGGCCCTATAGAATCTATAGAACTCTCTCTCTATCTCTCTGTCTGTATAGAATGCTTCACACAGTTGGGATAAATAGCACGTGTCTTTTTGTACCACAATTATATACGAATCTCCGGAAAAATAGGAAACTAAATTAAATCACGTTCACTGTTAAAACCATCCCTCTTTTTCCCTAGTTGGATTCTACCAACGACACGACCTGTGCTAACTCCCAGACAAAGCACCTGTCCCACCCTGCATGGACCACCCTGTAGACTCGCGAAGATTGCCGAGCAGTGTAACAGGTCCTCCGGCAATCGTCCGCGGACCGTTACACGCACTTCCCGTATCGCGAATGGAAAGTGAAAATTGGAACGAGCTAGACGCACGAGCTGAGATCCATTTCGAAGAGCGTTGGCATGCCCGCGAGGATTAGAAACGGCGAATTAGCATGCTAGAGGGAGCGGCGAGCCAACGAAATAGAGAGTCCCTCGGCGAGCATCGATTGCGCCATCGGCCACGCGAATAATAAACGATTCCACCTGCGATCCCGTACTCATCGCCGAGTCTCCGTTACGCGTACACCGACAAAGCGGAACGATTCCGGTCAGGAATCTTTCCTAACCGGGAGAACCACGCGACGGAGGCTTCCTGGATATTGCGAGATCGTGATGTAGGCATTTCTGAGTAGCCGAGATGATTATAAGCGCGGAGAGCTAGTTTTCCGAGGAAAGGTTATGAAAGGATTGTGAAAACAATTATGAAAGTATAATTATGACGCGATTAGTTGAAATTTGGAGTAGTGAATTCGGAGAGGATTCGATTAGGCTTGTGGCATGGAGATTTTGAGAAAAGATAATGAAAGGATTATGAAAGTAATTATGAATGTGATTATGACGTGATTAGTTGGAACTTAGAATAGTAAATTCGAGAAGATGTGATTAGGCTTGTGTCATGGTGATTTTGGGAAAAGGTTATGAAAGGATTATAAAAATAATTAAGAATGTTATTATGACGTGATTAATTGGAATTTAGAGTAGTAGAGGATGTGATTAGGTTTGTGTCATGGTGATTTTGAGAAAAGATTATGAAAGGATTATGAAAATAATTATAAAAGTATAATTATTACGTGTTAATTGATATTTGGAGTAATGAATTTGGAGAGGATGTGATTAGGTTTGTGTCATGGAGATTTTGAGAAAAGGTTATGAAAGGATTATGAAAATAATTATAAAAGTATAATTATTACGTGTTAATTGATATTTGGAGTAATGAATTTGGAGAGGATGTGATTAGGTTTGTGTTATGGAGATTTTGAGAAAAGGTTATGAAAGGATTATAAAAATAATTACGAATGTTATTATGACGTGATTAATTGGAATTTAGAGTAGTAGAGGATGTGATTAGGTTTGTGTCATGGTGATTTTGAGAAAAGGTTATGAAAGGATTATAAAAATAATTACGAATGTTATTATGACGTGATTAATTGGAATTTAGAGTAGTAGAGGATGTGATTAGGTTTGTGTCATGGTGATTTTGAGAAAAGGTTATGAAAGGATTATAAAAATAATTACGAATGTTATTATGACGTGATTAATTGGAATTTAGAGTAGTAGAGGATGTGATTAGGTTTGTGTCATGGTGATTTTGAAAAAAGATTATGAAAGGATTATAAAAATAATTATGAAAGTATAATTATGATGTGTTAGTTGAAATTTGGAGTACTGAATTCGGAGAGGATGTGATTAGGCTTGTGTCATGGTGATTTTGAGAAAATGTTATGATAGGATTATAAAAGTAATTATGAATGTAATTATGACACGATTAGTTGGAATTTGGAATAGTAAATTCGAAGAGAATTGGAATATATTTGTGTCATGATGATTTTGAGAAAAGATTATGAAAGGATTATGAAATATAAAATATAATAAATATAATTAATTATAAATATGATAAATATAATTATGACGTGATTAGTTAGAATTTGGATGTACTGAACTCGAAGAGAATTTTGACATTCTGAATTCGAAGAGAATTCGATTAGATTTGTATCGTGATGATTTTGAGGAAAGATTATGAAAGGATTATGCAAGTAATTATGAAAGTATAATTATGACGTGTTAGTTGAAATTTGGAGTATCCAATTTGAAGAGGATGTGATTAGGTCTGTGATATGGTGATTTTAAGAAAAGATTATGAAGGGATTATGAAGATAATCATGAAAGTATAATTATAACGTAATTAATTGGAATTTGGAGTACTGAATTTGGAGATGTGATTAGCTTTGTGTCATGGTAATTTCGAGAAAAAGTTATGGGAGTAACATAAAAGTGATAGTGATAGAACTGGTTGGAGATTTGAAGATGATGGGATTATGTTTGCGTTAAATTTGGCAAGAGTGTGCGAAAAAGAGGAATTTGTAGTGCACAATTAAAAGGAAATGTGTACTCGTAAGGCAAATGATTTTTCTTCCTTCTTTTTTTCTTGGAAGAAATTATGCGAGGCTAATGACTTTAGGTGTGCAGAGTTATTTGTAGAAGAGTTAGGTGTAAGATTTATGAATTAATAGAGGATGTGGTTAATTAAGAAAGGAAAAATATGTAAAGGAGGGCAAAAGGAATGAATGAATTGAAGTGTAATAGGAAGAGATTAAGTAATTCTA